TCCATCCATCTGTCCACAAACCTGCTTTCTCCCCCATCCATTCATCCCTTACCCTTCCTTCCCACACCCCTTCATCCCATGACCCTCGACCCTCAACCTTCATCCCGCAACTCTTTCCCCATCCCTTCATCCCTCCTACAGTTTATCATATTGGTTCAGCTTCATAAATTATGTGCAATAAACCATTCTAATTCCTTATTCTCATTGGTTCGGTCTCTGTTAGTGAAATAATAATAATAGAAGTTGCGTTGAGTACACATAATCATCCAGTGGTGCAGCCTGACTTGATTTAATAATAATAAAAATAGTTCTGCATCAAATAATGGAACCACATGCAATCAGTGACTGTATTTGAAAAAAAAAGCCTCAAAAAATATTGACAGGATTTTTAATCAGACCTCAAATTGAGATTATATAAAATACAGAAAACATAATAACATAATAACACATAATAACCAAAACATAATGGCTAATAAAGTTTGATACGGCAAGTTGGGGGGAAATACTTACCTACATTGAGCTACGTTAGCATTTATTTGTAGTTGTATTTCTGTTACCCCTCCTATCATTTTATTGTAAGTAATAAAATGAAAAATATTGATTGATAGTATCAGACTATTCATTTAGAAAGACAGAATATTGAAGATTTTATTTCAATTCAGTGATGTCGAAGAGTTAAAAAAAAGAACGCATCAGTATGTGAGGGTCTCCATGACCATTATGTGACCATTAACCTTGTTTGTACACACACCATTTACCTCAGACAAACTCACACTTGGGAAAAAGAGATAGTACACGTAACGTTAGATTTGATCAAGAATCTCCTCAAACTGAATTTACTGTGAAAATAATTGAGTTTGTTGGATTATTGACATAAAAAAAAGATCTGTGGACACAATCTGTTGTCAGACTGTGGGTACATGACATGCTTCTTTTAAACTGTTCAAACATGTATTGCAGCAACAAAGGGAAATTAATCATCTATTTCTTTGAATGCTTGAATTGCCCACAAACTAAAGTTTCTGTAGTAGTCGTAGTTCTGCACAAACTACATAAAGGACATTTTTGCTCCTGTTAATGTGACATGGAGATTGCCTAAATTAAGGGTCTGAGGTCATTTCTACCTCTCTGTCACTGTCAGCACATACCAGATCCCCTCCCCGTTTATGCCTCTGCTCTTTCACAATGCGTTCGATCTACAAGGCCCAGGCCTCAGCCAATCAGGATAGGACCAAATCCCCCTTATCCATAAAGCACTACTCCTGGTGTCCCTTCTGTCTCTGTACAATACAGTACAATGTGTTTCCCTCCCTGGACAGTAAGGAGGCTATAAAATAGCTTCTACACCCACAGACAAAAGGATCTCACTTTCAGACTCGACAATACTTGCATTTCCCCCACTAAAGATTTTAAGCCTGATCATTTGTGGGAGAAGTGGTGGTTCAAAGGAATTATTATGTCTGTGGTCAAAGTCCTGTGCTGTTTGCTGTTAACGTATCACCTCAATGAGGCGAAGAAAATCAAAGGAAATAGAGCAGGTGAGTGAAACGTCATGCTTAAGTAATCCCAGAAAAGTAAAAAAAAAAATGTGTTGCATTGGTTAAACTGTCTTTATTAATGGATAGATGAATGAAAAAACAAGCCTGAATATAGCTGATTGGTTGACAGCTTGGTTATATTTATATGTGGTCTTAGAATTGGATTAGTAGATTGAAAAAACTTGGACTGACGCCATCATTGTACAAATATGAAAAATAGAAGACAATAACATAATTGTATACCTCCAACTTAGCTGAGTCATATTGTCTATTCATGTTTTAGAAGCAACAAACTATGTAATCAATCAGGCTCCTTGTGAGAGTTTGCAAACAGGGGGCACCTAACTGCACTTTAAAAATTGGGCCTTTAACTTGATTTTATCTAACAAATTTTCTTAGAAGTTTATTTAAATTTACAATTTACAGTTACAAGAAACATACTACGAAAATCACATATTCTTCATCTGAAACTATATAATACTGAGTGAAGTATTTACAATAAGATATCAATGTTTTATGGTTTAACCAATTCCTCACACAGAAATAACCAACGTGTATTGTGAATAATTCTACACACACATTTCCCCTAAAGGCATCTTTGGCAACTTAAGGATCTTCTCCTCCTCTAGAATTTAAAATAGACTTCTGTGGGTTTCGAACAAAGCTCAGCTGCACAGCACGTGTTTGTAAAGATGAAGCCTCCAGTGGCCATTTCTTTTATTGTTCATTTGAAGATTACTAATTCAAAATACTTCATGTATCAAACAGTTAATCTGGTGTTAAACTTTCTTTACATCTTGTTCATGTTTGATTGTTTTGTTTATACTCTTGAGGAAAGGCTTTATCTTTAGGTTGATTTTTGAATTTCAAACAATTCAAAATGGCAATGGGCAGCATATTCTATGGCACATACTGTATTCTGTATTGAAATGTAATGAACTATTATAGTGAACTGAATGGTGGATGAATTGTTACACCACTACACAATATGGTGGCTGCTGCTGAAAGCATGGCAGATACAATAACTATACAGCTGCTCTCAAATCTGTGCACAGGAAGGAAATATTGCTGTCATAAGCAGTTTTATTTAAAGGTTTAATTTTTTTTTTGCTTAAATCCCTGAGTAGTGTGTTTTGCTGGGCTTTTCTCTAATAATTTTTAAATAATCAATGTCTCCTTCTTTGAGTGTTTTTTTTTTTTAAACTCACAATAAAAACAAC